TGTTAACGAAAAAAAAAGCTTCCCCCCCCCCCCCCAAAGTGTTTTCTTTGGTATTGTTCAGTTTTTCAGCAACATTAATTTAAAAGACTCATTGTTCATTCATTCCCCTAATAAAACTGGGAAAAAGTAAGGGAAAAAACGTTTTCATTTTAAAACAAATGTGTTAGGTTTTTCATTAAAAAATGACAAGCAAAATAAAAATGCTGGCTACTAGATTTGTCTGTTACAAAACAGATGCTTTTGTCACAAAATTAAAAGTTTTCATTTTATTCAAATTTTTTTCAAAGAAAGCACTATTTTGGGCATTACTGGGTATTTCTGGCCTTTTTTCATGAATACTTTCTGTGGCTTTTATTCAACTCTTTACACCCACACCTGTAACTTTATCAGACATCATTAGGGGGTTGTTTTAGCATAGAAACTATGCTCAGATATCCCTTGGGATTTTGATTGACATTTGCAATCTGAAGCCAGTGAGCATGACAACACATGTCCTGAATTTCCTCCAGTTAACTTTAAAGAGGAACTAAGACATCGAGTAGTGGCTACTCTTATTGCCACACTTTATTTCTTGTGAAATTATCTGAAAGAATAGAAACATGATCTCAGGGTAGCGAGAAGCTTATACACAAGTAGGCTGTCAGCCCGTGGTTTACACAGGTTTTCTGGGGAGTGACTAAGGCAGAGGGTAGTTTTAGCCACCTAAGTGGGGCACAAAAGGCTTAAATGCACACCACAGAGAAGCCAGTTATGCTTTGAGTGTGGCTTCTTATTTTTAAAAGACTTAGTAAAATATGCTAGGCATTGTAATTTTCCACAGTGAAAATTCCCCTGCTCCCTATCCCCACCACCATCAGCCTTCTTTGCTGAACATTCTCCAGAATGTCTTGGGTGCTAAGACAACCATTAACAATGTCAGCTTTAACAAAGTAAATGCCATATTTTCTCACATACAGCATGTCCCAGAATATAATACACACCTTGTTTTTGAAAGGCAGAATGAAGATTTTTTCTTGAGTTATGGCTGTAGAAGGCAGAGACAGAATCTAATCTTCAGCTGGCCTACCCTCCTTGCCCTACTTAACAAAAGCTGAAACCCTAGTTGCTGCTGAAGACTAGTCTCCATGGATGGATCTTTGATTCTGAAAATTGCTAAGAAGGTTCCAGGGCTATGAAATATGAGAGAGACTGGGAGCAGCTAGAAGACAGCAACGTTGCCCTAAGAAAGGTTAGCTTGATTAGTGGAACATTGAGACCATTAAAAAGGACAGACTATTGTTAACACCTATGGAGTGAAGAAAAATGGACTAATTAAGTCAATTGACTCCCTCAGCTGCCTAAATAGTAATGTCACATCTACTGTACTGTGAAGCAAGAATCAAACTGGGGAGCTTCTATCCTGGTCAGAAAATCAGCTGCTGTGCTTAACATACACACCACAATTTTTCATGGGTGATTTTTGTGGAAAGGTGCATGTTGTATGTGAGAAAATACAGTACTCATGGCTGTGCTCCTTATGTTGACAGTAGTTTCTTATTAGCTGCCACATATTAATTCCTTATATATTAACTGCTTTGCTGCTTACAGATAAACAAACATCTACCCAGGAAAGCAAGACTGGTATAGCTCTTTAGCTTGTGCATGTGTGCATGCATCTGTACAATACCTGGCAGAGCAGGGTCCCGAATTTGACTGGAGCTTTTGGCAGCACATTTAAATAGTAGGCTAAAACTCTGAAACCTGGATGCCTAAAGTTAGACTCTTAAAATCCTTTTTAGGTGCCTAAATATAGGTTGCCTAATTTTAAAAAATTACAGGAAGTGATTTCAATGAGATTTAGAGGGATCTCTGAAAAATATGTAAAGAGGCCACATCTTCCACGGGTAAATGTGTGTGTGCTTATGCAACAGATCAGACTTAATTGCCCAAGAGGCCCTGGCTAGGCTTATGCTCCTGTTTTAAGAGTTAACAACACTACTAACAAGTATCATGTTGGCTGGAACAGAGGACTGCAAGTCAAAACGACTGACTTTTAGTCTCAGCTTTCTCACTAACTCACAATATGACTTAGTTCCAGTCACTTAATCTTTCTGTGCCTTCACTGCCTGTTCATCTCTAGAATAGTGATGATGTTTACCCTACCGAGTCTAAATTAATTGGACTGACCTTCAGAAGTGTCAAGCTCCCACAGCTCCAACTGAAGTCTGTGGGATTTGTGAACGTGCCTTATCTTTGGAAATCAGGCCCAGCATTTGTAAGCTTTGGGGGTCTTCAAATAACATGGGTAGGGTAAACGCAAAGCAACAAAAGCATTTAGGTATCTAAACTCCCATGTCTTTTTTGGTATGGGCTTCTGAGTTTTGCCCTCAGACCTGTTGTTTATTTTCAAATCTTTCCTTTCTGGACAATTGTCTTTCTCCTTTTAGAGCAAGAGATTCTGTCAAACACTTCCACGTGGAGTACGTGAGGTCTGCATTCAAGTTTGGCTTTAATGAGTTTTCTAGCGTGAAAGATTTAGTCAACCATTTTGCAAACCAGCCTTTAATTGGAAGTGAAACAGGTAAATAATGTGTGTGTTTGTGTATGTTCTTATGTAAAGGGATATAAGAAGATTTTAGTGAACACACTGTGTTAAAATCAGAAATATTTTTACTTAACCCCTTCCTCAAATTCATCTATTGATCAGATGTTATTTTTTATCAATTATTTTGTTTACCAATATTAAATGTACCTGAGGGAAATATTCCTTCCAGACATAGTATGCTTAATCTAAACACAGACCTAGCATTAGCAGGGTATGATTTTGCCAGAATAAGACAAAACCTCTTAGGTCACTGGGCACATCCAATTCTTAAACAGAGTTGTTCTCCTATTCTTAAGCAGAGTTGTGTCCATTTTATATTAAAACAGCTTTAAAGTACCTTGGAGTAAAGAGACCCCTGGCTTTATGAAGCAACAGATAAGAGCACTGTATCTGCTAGAATTCAGCAAGTATCTGCAACAGGTTTGAAAGAGTTAAGGGATGTAGTAAAAATTTATAGAAATTGTTCTTATCAGCAATTTATAATCACAAGACTTGACATTAGTAATTTTATTATTATCAGACTTGATTCTGATTTATGATAGTGCTCCTGAGACCAGAATTGGCCCTGGGTGAGAGAGGATGATGCTCACTATCTGCGCCTGTTATACACGTGTCTAATAACGTGTGTACACAATACATGTTTTGATAAAAAAATTGTTTTCTAATTCCTGACAGTAAGTAGCACAGTCTTAATCCACAGTGACCATTTCAGAACCTGTGTTTGCTGGCAACAACAAGACTTAAAAATAACTAATTTGTTTGATTTTTGAAAGGGTATGGAATAAAGGGTTAAAAAACAACAGTGATGCCCAAAATATTTTGGAATGATCTTCTTAGAGGAACATATATCTGGAAGCATGGGCTGAAAGTAGAGGATGGTGTGCTGGAAGTGTATATTTCTGCTGTTTCCTACTTAGAAATCCAAATGGTTTCCTCCCCTTCCCTGCAGTTCATATGCACTGTACTCTCCTCTACTCATACTGAAATAAAACAGCTGGCTTGCTAATGTATTGTCCCTACACCCTGGATATTCCTTTTAGTATTTCCTAAGCCAGTTGGTTATTTAAAACCACAGAGCATTGCAACAGATAAGCAGCTACTTGAATCAGCAGATTAAGAACTAATTCACTTGTACTGATGAAATTTAAAGCCTCCCAAGAGAAAGAAAGGACTGTGATCAAGTGCTAAGAACATGGTGTTAGGTCCGTGGCCCTCCTGAGTTCTAATCCTGGCTGTCAACTCTGTGACATTGAGCAGGTCTTCCCTGTTGTGAGTAAATCACAGCCATAATAAAGCTAATATCTGCCAAACTCCCAGTGATATTTCAAGGATAAGTTAACATTTGTAAGGCCGAAAGTGGAAGAATGGTAATAACTCAGAGACAAAAGCTTACTATTAAGTGTTTAACACTATATGCAAGTACCTGGTTTGTGGAAGAGTGGTAATTGTACATGCAGATCACCAGGTGGATGCCCAAATTATTATTTGCTTTTGTAATTACTGTGCCAGCATATAAAATGGTAAATTGGCACTAAAACACTTCTAGATATTTCCTATGCCTAAAAGGTTATGTTATATGTTTCCGTACCATGAGATAAGATGTAGTCCAGAAATACTAAGGATGGGTGTGTTTTAATCTAAATATATATTTTGGGTTATGAGATTTTTTTCCTGAAGTCAGAAATATACCCACTAGATTACCCTTCAAATACTTCAGAAGTCATATAGACAATTATGATTTTTCCCCTCCTTCACACTCCATGTGTTACATCTATTAGTAAGTAAGGGGCTGGTGTTATATGATCTCTGAGAGCTGGATCCCAACTGCTGAAGGATGTGCCTGCTGCTTAGCTAATGGCCCCCTAATCAGATTCTGCCAGCTCTGTGAAACACCTTTCATCTGTCTGAGTCAGACAAAGCTGTCAGTTGGAAATAGGTAGTGGGCATCATATCAAGGAGCGTGTCACCTTCCACTTTACTTTCCTATATGCAGCAATGTACAGGAAGAGTGAGTTAGCAGCTGAGGAACTCTGGCTTTACATAGAGGGGGCTCAAAACCTTGTAAAGCCTGTGGGGTAATAGCCTGTTTAGAGAAAGGGTACAGTCCTGCTCTCATCAAAGTCCTCTGAAATCTCCCATTGACTTCACTAAGCAGGTTGTAAGAGCTGGTCTATTTAAGCAGCTTGCTCACAGAACTGTAATAGTTAGCTGTTACACAGAAGTGTCACTAGACAAAGAGATGAAATAAGTGATAGGTCAGTGAGAGAGTCAGAAACAGAATCCAGGTCTCCTGGCACAATCCATTTTGCCATCCAGTAACAGGGAACATGAGAACTTTGGCTCAGGCATTAGTGGTCGGTAGTTATATAATCTTTTTTTATGTTTATGCATGATAAATGAAAAAAGGTCAGCTCAGCAGAAAGACTGAAAAAGAAGGACCCTTGATAATTTTGTCCTCTTGCTTGGTTCTAGACAAGACTTCATAAACACATGGTTATCAATAAACTGAGAATGAGATGAAATAGAAATTATTTTCAATAGATCTATAACAGTACAATTTAAAAATGTGCTACCAATAGTAAGAGAACTCTGAAAGAGATCACATCACACAAAAAAGACCATGGTTCTCAGGCTAAGGTCAGGGTTACTAGGAAAGAAAGGTAGTTTTGGGGATTATCCCTAACATTGTGGGCAAAATATTTATTAATGTAAAATGGAGGGGTTATATTAAATATAAAACTTGGTGGTACATTAGCATTATCAAATTTCTCTGTTTGTGGCTGGAATGGAAGACCTTTCCATTTCCCAACACCCATTTTTTCAGCAAATTATTTTTTAATGTCAGGAAGATTGAGGAAATGAAAAATGTTAACCTTCTTCTGCTTCAGATAAGCATTTTGAAAAAATGCAGAAAACCATTTATGAAATGAGAAATGGCTCCATTTCAAAGCCTTCATTGTGATGACAGCTTTGTAATGTTATATGAATATCTAGTTTTGCCGTGTTACAGTGCCTGTAACTAGTCTGGAGCTCTTGTGGAGTGCCCAGTGCTCATGTTTATGGACTGGAGCACATTTCTAATATAGCTCAACTAGGGCATCCTGTGGAGTCAAGGAAATTCATATCACACTACCACTGACTCATGAGACTTCAGGCAAGTCATTTAGTCACTCAGTTATCCATCTGTTGAATAAAATGAATCCTGACTGAATTTGCAAGGCTTTCTGAAATCTGTGGTTGAAGAATCCCAAAGTCCTGATCCAGCAAAGTTTTGCAGGTGATGCTGGAATTTTTTCATGCTGTTCTTTTGTCAAATTTATCTAGATCTCCATTAGTCACATCAAACAGCTGTGTGCATTCATGCTGGTTTTACACCAGGGTTGAAACATGTGCACCTGCTTGGGTACTTCAGATAATAATAAAAATGTAATGCAGGTTAGTATCTACTGTAAGGTTTCTTGTACAGAAGAGCTGATCCAGTTATAAAGGCTGTTTTCAATAACAATGGTAGAAGTAATATACTATCATATTTATCTTCTTACCATACTGACATAGGCAGGAGATTATTCTTACCTATTGGTTGCTTTCCTTCCTAGTTTTCAATTGCAATGTTTTTAAAGTTACGTAGAAACTTTGAGTCATTAACCAGACATGCTTGATATGAAAACCAAGTTCACTTTAATTGACTGAAACTTCTAAGAACATGGGTATATTTCCTGTTTTGTCAGTCTCCAGAGTACTCTAATTCCTTGGAAAGTAGAGAAATATACCAGGAAAAAAACCCACCACTGTCTTGGTACTGGTTAAAGGGTTCAGCGTTTACTGGCCCAGTTAATTTCTTATGTATTCACTGAATGACTCAACAAAAATCTTCCGTTCAGGAAAATCCTACAGAATATTAATAAAGGCTATAATTTTAACAAAATGCTTTAAACTGTGTGTGCAGTTCTGTAGCAGGGCTCTCATCTTCTGTGAAATATGGGAAACATGGGAAATTTACTCCCTTTTCAAGTCAATACAATTTAGAGCAATTTCTACATACAGCCTTTTGATACTGTCCCTTTTAAACACTAAAGTATTTTTCCATATGCTTAGGGAGAATTAAACTGACAATGACCTTAGACCTATATCAAATTGAATATCACATTTACAGGCTCCCATGTTTGTGTGATCAGATGTCAGTTAATTACTTCAAATACTCTTTTTTCCATCTCCCCCCTTTGAAAAACATAAGTGATCTCATGGTTTAATAAGTCAGCAATCACTGTAAGTTTATTTTGGAGCATCTCCTTGATCTGCTTTTTCAGCTAGGATTGTGGGTTTGGGGATTTGAGAGTTTGTAACTGGGGGGTGAGCTGCATTGGCCCTGAAGCACCATGCTAAGTTTAGAGTTCGCTTTTGCTACTGTTTTTTTGTAAACATAAGCACTCCACTGTTTAGTTACAGTTCTGTGAAGGTTAGTCTGAATGACACAACATGCCCTTTATATGATTTACACACTCTTACCAAATAGTAGTGTGGTGAACAACAATATTAATTTATTTTTAGAAGATTCCATATTTCTTTCTTATAAAAATTTAACCAGATCAAAGTGCTAACTGACTAATAATTTCATACAATGTGTTCTTGCTTTGATAAAGAAATAGAGTGACTGCTGGTAAATCATTGGACTGGGACTTGTATTCCTGAGGTTTGATGCAAGTTCTTCGTTTGGAAACTGGGAATAACAACTGGTTCTCCCCTGTTGAAACTATGAAAAAGTCTGTTGGTATTGGTAGCATTGTATGTTCATAGAGCTGTGCAAGGAGTGAGAAGAGAAAATGGTATTTCTGTTGGCTATCACCACCTTCACCTAACAAGCAAAGTTGCTGGTCCCTTTGACTGAACTCAGTATATACCCTGGACATCGGGGTTTCTAGAGGCCTCTTGTGGGTTAAGTGTAGGTAAAGGTAGGCCATCAAGCTTTTCTTTCTTTCCTTCTAGCAAGCCCTGGTCTCTTAAGGCATGTCTACACTGCAGCTTTTTTTGGACAAAGCTTAATGTTACCATGGCAAAACTGCTTCTGGCACCCGAATTAGGTCACTTAAAACTGGCTGCGTAACTCTATACTAAACTTGGGCCTGCCCCAGAGACATTAGTTTTCTCGCAGTGAGGGAAGATAATAGGATCCATCTAGGAAGCCTGCAACCTTGTTAACTACCAGAGCAGCCAGCTGGTAAATTATGTGGGCTTCTGCAGGTAAATTATGTGAGTGCGCATCTACACATGCCTGTACGGTGATGTTGCTTCTTCTTTTTCAAAGTACTAAAGCACAGCACAGTAGCAGCCTGTACTGCACTGTACACTGGGCTCACAGTTATTTTTAGCTGCTACGGGAGCATGCCGTGACAGCGAAGTAGTTGCTGGTCACGTGTAGATGCATGTGGTCACTATGTCTCCATAGTGCGTTGCTACAGCGAAGTAGCATCACGTGTACATGTGCCCTGAATTTAATTATGTGGACTAAACCTGCAAGAGAAACTTCCCCTGCTGTTTAAAAGCCACCTCTAAAGGAATGCTGTGCATAAAAGAAAGGGGGAAGCCAAGGGAAAACAAAAACACACCAAACTTTTACTTGCTAGATGGGAGAGATGTGAGGCTGACTGTGGTCTAGTACTAGTGCCCAAAAGGACCTGTTAGGGCTGCAGCTGCTGGTTTTCCTTCTAAAAGGAACAATTTAGAGTGGAGAAGGACAGGTGTAACTGGCCAGGCAGGAAGAAGGCAGTGCAGTTTAAATAACAAAGACAGGCTTGATTATTAGCTTCTTGTAGTTAGGGTTCTTAGTGTAAATACCTTGACTTTTAGAGTCAGAAAAGAATTTTACATATTGCAGACGTTTATTTCCTTCTGTTGTGTTATGTTGAAGTAATAAGAACTCAGATGAGCTCTGTTTCATCACTAGCTTCCTGTATTTCGGGTTTTCCTCCATGCCATTTCACCCCAAAGCATTTCACAAGTGGGCAGATGGTAGAATATGGCCAAGGCATCAGACTTAACCTCCTTTACTTGAAAGACAAAAATATAAACACATTCATGTTTCTGATTGCTCGCAGGTGCTCAGGGCTGCCACTCTCTCTCAAGACCTCATTTGGCTTAAGTGGGACTTAAATATGAAACAAAAGTTTGCACGTCTGCAGGAAAAGTGTGCCTGACACAGCAGTACAGTGTCCCTTCACATATTGGGTCACTGGTGCAACACTGACTAGTTGATGTCAACACCACTTCCTGCAGCTCTGGGCTTTCCTTGCGGGCCTCCTAGCTCGGTCCTCTCTCACCCCAAAGATTGCTCAGCTTGCAAGATCTGGCAAAATCATAAGCTCAAGAGGATATGACTCATCATTTAATGATTGGATGCTGTATCCCATACTAAGGGTGGGGGGGCTTGGAGAATTGATTTTTATAAGTAGACTGTTTCTTGTTCACCCAGAGAATGACACTGCTTTAAAAAGCAAAACAACTGCCATTTGATGATTGAAGCCTGTAATTACTGAAAAATTTTCCTAAAATCATAATCTGTTAACTCTTCTGAAATAACTAATATGAGGCACTGACAGTAATGATAGTTACCATCCATAGGTTAATATGCCATGGTGGGCTACCACTATTCTCATTTTGCAAAGCTCACATGGATTACAGGTATGCCTACACTGTTTCCCCAGTGCTCCCAGAGACCCCACTCCCAAGCCAATTGGTCCTACTCCACATGGACACCAGTCCAGAGATGAGGCAGTGAAGCTGACCTGAGACTGTCCCAGCTGTTTCTCTCAAGCAAACTAGAGGGCAAGATCTGTGGGGCAGTGGTGTGCAGCTTCACCACCTAATTTCTGGGTGTAGCGTGTTAGAAATAGCAACTTAGCAGACCTGGACAGGTTGGACAAATGGGCAGAAAACAATAGAATGCAATTTAACAAGGAGAAATGCAAAGTGCTGCAGCTAGGGAGGAAAAATGTCCAGCACACCTACTGCCTAGGAAATGACCTGCTCAGCAGCACAGAAGCGGAAAGGGATCTTGGAGTCCTAGTAGACTCTGAGATGAACATGAGTTGTCAGTGTGACGAAGTCATCAGGAAAGCTTAACTGCACTTTATCGTGCATCAGCAGATGCATGACAAACTGAACCAAGGAGGTGATACTTCCCCTTTAACGGGCGCTGGTCAGACTGCAGTTGGAGTACTGTGTGCAGTTTTGGGTGCCACACTTCAAGAGGGATGTGGATAACCTGGAGAGGGTCCAGAGAAGGGCCACTTGTATGGTTAAGGGCTTACAGGCCAAGCCCTACGAGGAGAGACTAGGGCACAAGGACCTCTTCAGCCTCCGCAAGAGAAGGTTGAGAGGCAACCTTGTGGCTGCCTGTAAATTCATCATGGGAGTGCAGAAGGGA